TGAGAGGGTCCCCACCACATTCTGTGGTTGCCGTGAAGAAAAGCTGCATTCGCTCGAAAGAGCGACAGCAGCAGTGCCGGCCTGGAGCTCCGTCATTTGGATTTGACGTCCCCGAGGCCCGCCGAACCTCCTCCCAGGCCTCCTTCGGGCGGGTAGGAGTGGGGCATGAGGGTCCCCACCACATTCTGTGGTTGCCGTGAAGAAAAGCTGCATTCGCTCGAAAGAGCGACAGCAGCAGTGCCGGCCTGGAGCTCCGTCATTTGGATTTGACGTCCCCGAGGCCCGCCGTACCTCCTCCCCCAGGCCTCCTGCTCTTGGAGGAGTGGACTTGCAGGTTCACCGGGGCTGTTTTAATTGGGCATCTCTAAGGAGAACAGGATGTGAATGAAGAAACAGTAATGCAATCCTTGGAAGATTTGCATCTCAGTAAAAGCAGCTGGCCCTTAGACCAGTGATGGCTCATCTGCCGCACCGGGGAAAAGTGAAAAAGGAAATGTCCTTCCCAGCTGGATGCCGGCGCCCGCTGCCCCTTTCCGTATGTCTCCCGCTCCCAGCATCAGCACCACAACTGCTGAATCCTCAATGAGAAAAGATGCGCCTAACGCCCTTTACCTCTGCCGTTATTTTCTCAATGGTTTTGAATGTCGCAGGACTCATTGTGAATCTGTTTATTGTGGTGGTCAACTACAAGACGTGGGTGGAAAGCCGCAGAAGCTCCTCTTCTGATAAGATCCTGTTCAGCGTGGGCATCACCAGGTTTCTGATGCTGGGGCTGTTCGTCCTGTACATTAACTACTTCCTCATTTCTTCAGATGCTGAAAGGTCAGTCCGCATATCCAATCTGTACCTGTTCTCTTGGCTGTTTTTGGACTCGAGCGGTCTCTGGTTTGTAACCTTGCTCAACGTCTTGTACTGCGTGAAAATCACGAACTTCCGACACTCAGTTTTTCTTCTGCTGAAACGAAATCTCTCCCCAAAGACCCCCAGGCTGCTGCTGGCCTGCGTGCTGAGTTCCGCCTTTACCACGCTCCTGTACGCTGTGGTCAGTCAGACATTCCTTCCCAAATTGGCGGCTGGGCGAAATGGCACAGTGTTCGACATCACTGAGGGCATCTTGTCTTTGGTGATCTCTCTGGGCTTGAGCTCGTTTCTCCAGTTCACCATCAATGTGACTTCCGCCTCCTTGTTAATATATTCCTTGAGGAGACACATACAGACGATGCGGAGAAACGCCAGTGGTTTCTGGAATCCCCAGACCGAGGCTCACGTGGGCGCCATGAAGCTGATGGTCTGTTTCCTCCTCCTCTACGTTCCGTATGCAGCCGCTGCCCTCTTCCTCTACCTCCCTTCTGACGTAGAGGTGGGTTTGGAATTCAGATCCGCGTGTCTGATCATCTCTACCTTTTACTCTCCGGGACATTCTGTTCTCATTATTCTCACCCACCCGAAGCTGAAAACTAAAGCAAAGAAGATTCTCTGTTTCAACAAATAGTGGCATATCAGTAGTCAGGAGTGGCCCGGGTTACCTCGTGGTTTGGGAACGAGATTTTCTGTTAGCAGTTTTCCTGGGATCTGAGGAATTCATGTTTGTAACTGCCGACCTGACTTTCTAGCCCTTTGAGTGCCCGTATTTCAGTGTATTCTACAGTTTTTCTGCTAATATTTTGAAACTAGGCACTTTCTCGAAGGCGCTGTTTGAAATGTCCTGTATTCCGCGCGGGCGTCGCACCCCTGGCGGTGGAGCCCACGTCGCTCTCTCGGCGGCTGACACACCGGTGGGTGGTCCCCGGGACTCCGCAGCGCCTGACTGGCCGGCTGCAGTGCAAACCCTGACAATTGCTTATGTTTCTTTTTTGTAATGCAAGTACCTGACTTAAGCTCTTCTTTTTTCCTTTTTCCCTTTTTTTATTTTTATTTTTGTTATTTTTATCAAGGTAACATTGGTTAATGACATTATGTAAGTTCCAGGTATACAATACTGTGATTTCATATCCGTATATACTATGGCGTGTTCACCACCGAAAGTCTAGTTTCCGTCCTTCATATACATCTGACCCTCCCCTTACCCATTGCCCCCTCCCCGCTCCTCTGGTAGCTACGTGTCTGTTTATATCCATGAGTTTGTTTTTGTTTTGTTTGTTTGATTTTTTTTTTTACACTCCATATGTGAGTAATCATACAGTTTTTGCCCTTTTCCATCTGTCATATTTCACGTAGCGTAATACCTTCAGGGTCTAGCCATATTATCACGAATGACAATATTTCATCTTTTTTATGGCCAAGTAGTATTCCACTGTATATTTAGCTATCTATATATATTTGTATATATATACCACATCTTCTTTATTCATTTATCTGTCAATGGACACTTAAGTTGTTTCCATATCTTAGAAAACAGTATGGAGGTTCTTTAAAAAATTAAGACTAGAACTACCATGTGATCCAGCCATCCCTCTTCTGGGGAGTTACCTAATTTGAAAAGATAGAAAGCACCCCTCTATTCAATGCAGCATTATTTACAACAGCCAAGACATGGAAACAACCTGACTTAAGCTTTGATTGTGAGACACGCCCTTCAACGAATAAACACATTGCCAGACACACAACTAGGCGACCAGCCAGGCCACCTCCCCCGCCCCCGGAGGCTCCTTTGTTTTAGGGATCTTGGTTGATTTCATTACCTGACCACTTGGGCCATATGTTTTTCTTTTACTGCATTTTAAATTCCCACTCTTATGTTTTAAATTCACCAATAAAGAGTGAGCCCTCCAAACCCTATGCCTCCCCCGCCACGCCAATAAAAGCAGAACCCTAGGCCCGGGTGCTCTTTCTCCTTGTGAGCTCACTGTGTGGCCCCAAGTGTGCTGTGTAATTTCCAGGTTCTATGTGGAATAAACCTTTATTATTTCAAAGTGTCCTGATGGTTATTGCAGAAGGGGGTCTTGCAGTCACAATGAGGAGCACGAGGGCCCGTCCAGCCACAGTACTCGTTATCGACAGGCTGAGACTGGCACATGGCCACCATCGTTAAAGTTTTGAGCTTTAGCTGAGGAGTCCTGTGTGAGGACTCAGCCTCGGGTAAATGGTCACTGGGAGCCACTAGATTGGCTGAAAGTTCAGCAAGAGGGTGCAAAGAGAAAAGGAAAAGAGGGTGGTTTCAGAGAGGAAAGGGAGGAAAGAGAAAGGTAAAAAGAAATAGGTGTACATTATGGCGGATGTACAGAAAAAGTGTCCTCAACTCGCTGGGTGACAGTAACTGAGCTATTACTACCAAGGAACTCTAGGACCGAATTTTTAGGTTTGTTCTAGAAGGAAGGAAAGGGCCAGAGTTGATAGGTGGAGGAAAGTGATAAGTATTAAGGAAGC